ATGTGTAATTTTCAAAAAAAGAAAAAGAAAACATACATAATGTGAATTTGAAAAATCGAGTGTGATACAACGGCGCGTATTTATATAAACTACTAGGTCAGATATATGATAATAAAATATACAATTCATAACACTTCATAAAATTGATCGATCGAAGGCATGGGATAAGACATTCACAAGTCTTAGAGCAAAGGGTTTTGTTGTAAATTCTTATTATAAAATCCAAAAACTCATCATATATGTTTCAGAATTACAAAAAAAAACTAGGTTCTTCAGATTTTTTTTTTGGTAAACTAATTAAATTAAAAGATGAAAAATTTTGGATCAGTTTTCGATTTGGATGTGTTGTCCTTACGCAAAAACCATGCTAGTCTTCTCTATATATATCGTTCCCGAAAGGATAACATTAGTGTTTCTTTATAAATTTTTTGTCTTACTTTTATCTTCAGAACTTTTAATTAGTTTGGTTTTTCTTTAAAAATTTTTTTAAAAAATCATAATCCACTCAAGACTTAGTGTTTCTGTTTAATAAAAGATTCAACCGTCCATGTCACTTCAACCTTTTTTGTTAATATAGTATTAGGAAATTTAAAGCATCCACAATAATAGAATCTCTAACATGAATTTTTAGTCTAAAAAATATTAGTATCTTAATATAATTTAGATAAATTTTATTATTTTTTTAAAAAATTGAACAAACTCCATAGGTAGAAACCCCATTAATTTTTTTCCTTATTTTTTCAATGTTATATTAAATTTTGTTTATTTTTATTACTTATAGAAGAAGAAGGTAAAAGAAATGTTAGACTTACACAGTTACACGACCAAATTTTGATTATGTTAACTAAGTGTGTTCGCTTAGGTGTGGATCTGTCTTACACGCGCCATACTTCGCGCGTAAGAATATTTTATTGTAGAGAAGTATAACAAATATGCTTTTTGAGTTCCACGAATGTGTCGTCTTTGAAGTACAAATTTTTGTCGGCGCCGAGATTCACATACCAATAAGTTTTAAGCACTAGCCATTTACGGTAATATGT